TATTATCAACCAAGTATTCCTTGGAGATCTTCAGGGGTTGATTTGAATAGTGATGAGGTAGAAAGCAGATTTTGAGGGATTAGATAGTAGATGGGTGGTTGGAATGTGCAGGCAGTCTGGGTGAAGTGGGTTGGTTTCAAGGATCATAGAGATAAGGAGCTTGCCCTTATCAGAATCCCTTGGAATGTTTATAAAGTAGAGAACTTTCTGGCCCTCACCCATGACCAGAAACCCTGGGGATGAGATCCAAGAATCAATTCTTATAAACAGGCAATACCAGGTGAGTCTTATGCGTAATACATTTTAAGAATAAATGTTTGAGGGGAAGGATCCAGTGGAGATGGAAGGAGATTAAAAATTTAAAAACAGAGGAAATACTTGTGTGTGTGCAAGATTTAAGAAACATTAGAGAGTTAATGAATTGAAATCAGTTTATGGGCTGATTTTTATTTTTTAAAAACTTGACCATGGGGGAAAAAAATGACATGGATAGTACTTTTTCTTTTTTGCCATGTCTTTCAGTTTTTTCTTTTTGTTTAATTCCCAAAATGGTGTATTTTCTCTTCACAAGTTTCAGTCAATTCACAAGTGCATTAGGTAAATTGCAAAAGTGCTTTCCCAGTCTCTTCCTGTTTCCCAGTTTGATGAGTACCTGTCGACTGAAATAAAAATGCACAATATAAAAGCTGTGAGTTGAGTGTTTTGGGGGAGTCTTACTAAGGACTGTGGCCCTGGAGACAGCCTGTCAGAGAGCTCTGAGAGATTCCTTTGAAGAGGTTGGGGAGGAGCCAGATATATATGAACTTATTTTTTGCTGGGAAAAGACATGTATCAAGCATCAAAAGAATTCTGTTAAATCACAGAGAACAGACAGCTCAAGTGCTTTTTAGTGCTTTTCTATGTGTAGGAAGATGCAAGAATCTGACGTCATTTAAAATTTCTTCTCAGATATGCACCTTAACTACCCAGGGGCCAGTATATCCAAAGCACAGAATGCTTCCTGTTTGTCTCCATTCTGAATTCTCTTAGGGTGCACTGTCAGTGGACGACTGCCCTGGCTGGAGAATGACTTGATCCTTGTGGAACCGGAATGGCAGGCAACATTTTTTTCTTTATCAGTCCTTCTAGAATTTTCTATCATGTGGAAACACATAGCAGTCCTCCCACTCAACACATGTATTCTAACCTGCTTCACTGCCCCCACCCCCACCTGTGCTAAATCATTACATATGAGGACATTTGGGAGCACCTGAGAAACAGATGATCCAGTTAAATCTCCTTTAAACATGCTAATAAAGGACTTCTTTCTAGTGGGGAGGCTGTATTTATGGAACAATTCTTACAGGAGATACCTGGCTCTCTAGGACTGATTATTGTTAACAAACCTAGAATCCATGGAATGTCTTTCTGGAAAGGGTCATGTGAGCCCTGTAACCTTCCGTCGGGTATAAAGTAGGGATGTTTCGTGGTGAAAACTGCCCCTTCTGCGGAAGGAGGGTGAGTGCACACTCACACTGTGGAGCCTTCGTGTGTCCCTCGGGGCAGGGCCTGTCCTGAAGGGGAAGGAGAGGACCTGGGAGCAGCTTCCTGGGCCCTCCCTGCTTCTCCTGTCCCTTGTGGCTCCTTGTTCTCTGGAAAGTTTTATTTAAGTAATTCCTTATTTACTTGTATTTGAAGTTCAAGTGTGCTGATTGATTTGTTTTTGCTTGAGCAATTGAGAGTAATTGAATAGGAATTCTGTATCAGAGGGCCTAGCAGTGTAGTTGTCATTTAATGTTACCTGAAGGAACGACGTGCCCCATTTTCTCAAAGAAAATATATTCAGTTATTCAGGATTTACACTGTTTATTTTTTCACCTTTGAAATAAAAATATCCTTTTTTCCTTGCCCTTTCAAGGTGATACTTTTTCAAATTCTTTATAATTAAAAAGCTAAAGAAAATGCTTTCAGAATTCCTACAAGATGTTCAGAGATAAACATTTTTTCAGAAATCTGGGAGAATATATGCACATATATGAAATCAAGTGTACACATATGTAAGTGTATGGACAAGATTCTACCTAAATGCTTTCCTTTTTTTAGGCTGCTCTATGTTTTTTTTTTCATGTAACATATGACATGGACCCTAAACAAAATATATATGAATTATTTTATACATATTCCTCTGCCTACTTTTAAAAGGGTTTGATGTGCCTTGCAAGGCAACATATGACAGCTCGAGAAAATTAAGAATTGAATAAAGTCAAACAAAAGGAAGCAGAAGAATAGCCACCAGCACCTCAGGTTGGTTGATTTACTGCACTGCCATATAGATTTACCTGTGAATTTATTGATATTTAACACAAAGTGAAAAATAACTACCTTGAGAGCCTTCATCTCAGAAAAATGCTTAATTTTTATAATCAGTCAATTTTATAATAACCAAAATATTATGATAAATCAGAAAAAAAACAGCAAATGCCTTAATTGCATTGGATTTTTCTAATTAAAATTTCTGCCAAGTCAATTGTGATGTACAATTTTAAGGTTAATTTCACTATTTATATGATTATTGTTTTGTAGAATTTTCAATTTTCTATCAAAGTTTTTTTGGAGTACTAAAATTACACCACTACCAAAAATAATTGAGTTTTACCTTAATGATTGAGTAAAGCTCCTTTCCACCAAAGGAGAGTTTTCTAACTTTCAAATTTTGTAAATATAATTATACATAGTGATGTTCTCTTAGGAGTAATTTAAAGTTTATTTAAAAATTGCATTTAATAGACGATAGATTTCCTTATAAAGAGAGTTTCTCCAAAGTGCAGTCCAGTGGGAGAAGTTGCATGGTGGCTCTCCTGTCCCGCCCCGCCAACCTCCCTGGCTCTCACTATTCCCTTTCCTGCTGTATTTTCCCTGAAGTGTTTATCACTGTCTCCATCTGTGTGATGCATTGTCGGTCTTTGTTTTCTGTCTCTCCCTGCTCTCTAGATTATAGTATCCACAGATCAGCGATCAGCAATTTTCATTTGTTTCGTTCACTGTCTTATTTTAGTATCGGAAATAGTACCTAACACAGAGTAGATTTATGGTAAATATTTG